TAACATTTGCATTTGTGGTAGCCAAAATAGGTAGCAGTGCTACCTATTTTTTGCTGATAAAACAATTTCACATAGTAAATACAAAGAATTAAAGTAAAAAATATTTTTTGACAATCCTGCATTTTGCTTTTGGAGTTGTAACTTATAGCTAGCAATTCACTCTGCAAAAAATAAAATAATGTTCTATACTTGGCTGCAACTTTTGTGTAAGTGCAAGCAACAACTGCAGTATTTTTTTAGATGAGCCACAGTGATAGCTTTGCACTTCCTTGAGGCCTCTTCTCTTCTCACTGAATGAACTCCAGGGAATGGCATCATGTCGGGCTTTCCAGATGGATTATGTGAAGCCATAGCTCAATGTCATTTTCAATAGCAAGGCTCATAATTAAAGGTCAAATAGTCACTTCATCTGCAATCAATCAATAGAAGAAGTACTAATACTAAGTACTAATCAATCAATGGCAAATGCACTAATAAAAGCCATGCATCAAATGTCCGCATATGTGTGTGCTCACATGTACTGTGCATATATGTGAGTAGGGAGAAGGAGAGAAAGAGAACAAAGTGTGGGTGAATATGCCAGAGGGCATTGCGAATACTGTATTTATCTTTGCTCCTTTTAAGTTTATATCTTGTTTTACTCATTAAGTGAAATACAAATAAACAGTAGCTTTTCTGCACATGTGATGGTCCGTATTCAAAAAACTGACAGAGCACCCACCTCTACGCAGAAATATCAGCCCGTGTTCCTAACTAAGAAACACAAAGGCACCTACCCTGTGTAATTTGTCCTTACACAAACATGCCCTGCACTCTGATCTGGGAGACAAAAAGTGTGTCAACTGTTCTGTCTACAAAATAAAACCCAGCATATGGGAACAGCACTCATCTCCGTGCAGAGCAAGCGCTTATTCATGGATTCAGCAGTGGAAGTGGCAGTTGGCCTCATGAGCATGCACTGCATGGGAATTAGTTGGTTTCATAATATGGTGTGGGACAAAGTGACTTATAAAAGTCTTCTCATGCCTCTCCTATTACCACTTCTAAAGCTTTAAAGCTGTCAGCTCTTCTCCCACTTTAGCTGGTGCCATTCGAAGCTCCCCAGGGAATGGGCCAGACGTACCTATTTGGAGTTTCACCTGCCAAGCTGAGAGAAATCAGTTTCAAAGCGAAAGAACAAGTGTTGGGAGGTCATTTATACACTACCACTGGCATCTTGAAGACAAACAAAGCAGAGCTCCACAACGCATGTGAAACCAGACCCTGAGCAGTGTTTGTGCTTTCAGGCATTGTAATGACAAAGGGAGAGGGAAAAACTCTCTCTGCTGCAAGAGAACAGAAGGTATCTCCTTGCATGGTTTATAGTAAACACCTCTGGACAAGAAGAAATGTGACAGAACAACAAAAGAGTAACAGCCAAAATGCGTACGTCTGTTCTTGTTTCTGCTGAGATCAGGGTGGACAAGACCGTGCTGTGTGATTTAACTGTCATTCAGAAATGGCTGATCCTTAAAACCAAATTAGATCTACTGTGCTTCCACCTTCAGTGAAGGAATAAATGCTGGCTGCTCTGGTTAACATCCCTCTTTACATCATCAGTTTAGGGGCATGCTTCATCACACTACAGCTTTACAAAACTCGATCCTCCCTATTTACACAGAAATGTGCGTTTATGCAGCTCTACCTTATCTGGACCTGGTACTAATACCAAACAGAGTAAAATACCAGTGGTCTCAAAACCAGACAGCTTGAGACTGATACACAGCAGGCACGCCTACGTAGTGCACATGCTGTGTCGGGGTGCAAATGAGAGTGGGGGGGCCCTCAGGTTTGCCAAAGATGGGCTCCCAGGGACTGCCTAAAAGAGTATTTCCCCATCAGGAAATGGTGCTCAATTCAGGCCACGCTGCTGCTGGCCCTACGCAAGACAAGCCTGGGAGCCTCAAAGAAACCTTGACAAAGTACCTAAAGGGGGCCTACAGGAGAGCTGGGGAAGGACTTTTTACTAGGGCATGTAGTGATAGGACGAGGGGGAATGGCTTTAAACTGGAAAAGGGCAGGTTTAGATTAAACATTAGGAAGAAGTTTTTCACTTTAAGGGTGGTGAGGCACTGGAACAGGTTGCCCAGAGAGGTTGTTGAGGCCTCATCCCTGGAGGTGTTCAAGGCCAGGCTGGACGTGGCCTTGGGCAACGTGGTCTAGTGGGAGGCGTCCCTGCCTATGGCAGGGAGGTTGGAACTCGATGTTCTTCAAGGTCCTGTCCAACCTAAACCATTCTATGATTCTAAAGTTGAGCCCCAGAGATGGAATACAGCAAGGGAAGCACAGGTCCCAACCACCCATTGATCTTCAATGCAGGCCCCGAGCAGTGAGGAAAGGTAGCGCAAAAGCGCACAGCCCAAGAACAAATTATATCTTGTGACTAACCTCCTAGGAGGCAAACTTGCTTTCCATGAGACACCAGCTCTTCAAGGATGAAGGTAAAGCAGTCTGTCCTGAAGCTGACAAAGGGAAGAGTCTGTGGCTGAGATACAGTCCCACAATACTGTAATTCCACCATCTGCCTGTTTCATTTCAACTTGCACGCTTATCCACGAGACGTATGTATTAGCAAGGTAAAAGTATATATGGCTGCGGAGAAGCTGTAGGAGTCCTTGAAGTCAAGGTGGCCAAAATATTTTTGTTGCTGTGCTCGGGCAAAGAAAGATACAAAATACAAAGCCTGACACATTAGGCTGTGCTAATGAAAGCAGTAACTTAGAATTGGAAAAATGTGAGCCAAGAAGTCAAGCAAGCCAGGAACATCAAACTAGGTTCTTCTAGAGGAGAAACTAAAATACAAAAAGGAAAGTGCACTAGCAGAAGAAAAGTGAACCAACTGAGCTGTGTGCACAGGGTGCAGGTCAAGACAGGCTGCATGAGGATGTTCGGTAGAGTGAGTAAAAGAAATGAAGAGTCCTCATTTTTTTGTGGGCGATGGCAAGCTCTTCTAGGACTTTAATATTAAAAAAAAGGCTTTGTGCTTATTTTCTTAGGGTCATGCAAGCTGCAGAAGTATTCAACAGAGCGTATACAAAACTATTTTCACTGGGGAGGGAAAGGGAGATTTACACATTTGTGCTGTTAAATACAACCAGCTTCTCTTCTGTAGTATCACAGTTGTGTCCTAAGCTTATACGCATCTCCATATAGCAAGTACAATAGTGTGTTATGATGTAGGCGTGGAGTGGCCTTCTATAAATACAAGTGTAACTGTCTTCCTGAACACAACCTCATTTATTAGATGAAGCTTCAGTTTCATAGAACGTTTGGCTGAAAAAGACCTAATGTCATTTAATCTATGTTCTGCTCCAAGGCAGGATCAACTCTAGCTGTCTAATTCCTGTCAGAGGCTTCTCTACAATGATAGGAGATTCAAGAGATCAATAGGCAACATATTCCAAAGCTGAACTGTTTTACATTAGACAGGTTTCCATGGTTGTTAGCTTAAGTCACCATTATTCTAACATAGTCCTTTCCTTTTCAAAGCCCACTGTGAAAGAGTTACTTTTTTCTTTCTTTGCATCGACCCTTTATGCATTTGAGGATCACTACTGTATTTGAGCTGTCTTCTCTCAACAATCCCAACTGTTTCAACCTTCCTCCGGGGTCATATTTTTGAGTTCTATGATCATTCATGGCACTCTCCTCTGATCTCTTTCCAGTTAGTTCACATAATTTTTGAATTGTGGAGTCCAAAACATCATGCAAGTGTCAAAAGCCATAATGCTCTCAAGCCATACAACTTTTGCTACTTCTCTGCAACCCACAGGACCTTATGTGAAAGGAAATTAGGTTAGTTTGGTATGATATGCATTTGACAAATCTACGGGGCTGTTACTTCTTTCTTCCTACACTGTTAAAATAATGTATTCAATTATTTGTTTCAGTAGTTTTCTACAAAATGAAGTTAAACTCACTGATCTATAACTCCTCGTCCCCTCCTCGTTTCCACTGTGAAAAAGAGGCATTATGTTTGCCTTTTTCGTGTCTTCCAGAAACTCCTTCACTTCCCACAGACTTTCAAGGGCACTTGCTAACAGTTCTGCAGCACAGGCCTGGCTGAAGCAAAGAACCCTGAGATGAGTTTTGCTATATCAAACTGACTTGGAAAACATCTTACCTAAGTCCCAACTTGTTCTTCCCTTATTTCAGGCTGAGTTCTTACCTTTGTTATTGACACTAGCTGGGTTTCTCTTTGACAGATACAGTCTTGAAAAGGCATATATTCAGTCACATATGCTTTATCAAACACTTTTTCATATTTTGAAAAACAGTAAGAAAATATTCAAGTACTAGTTGTTTCACTGATTGAACGTAATGGATGAAGAAGTAGCAAGTGGCTGTAAGCATAACTGATTTAGTGAATTTTGTGAATTTCCACCAGACCGTCTTATTATCACTAACGGGTCATAGGTGACAAATATCTCAATGATGTTTTGATAAATGAATTCTAATAAATCAAACTATCCAAAATATCTGCGGACGTAAAATAAACACAGGCATTTTGCTCACGTTAAGCAAAAGACAGCATTGTCTATTTGTGATTTCTGAATACACCTCATGCTTTGATTTTCACTTGTACATGCCAGCTTTTAGGTGTAAGATTTTACTGTGATACTGGGCAGATATACCTTACAATCTTTTCAGTGCCAAACCTGAAATTTTGTCAATATTGGGTTAGGCAACAGAATAGAAAGAAAAATCCATCTTTCCATAAATGAGATGGTATAACCACTAAAATCTCAGCTGAGAAGACTATGTTGTCTGCCCTGTAATAAGCCTTTGTTTTATCTGTGCAAGAATATTATCCTACTGTTAGTAGCATACTGGTAGCATTACTTGTCACACTAAAACCAAAACCATTTAAGCAGAAAAGCCAGCAACAACATTTTTTTTTTCAACACAGCAAGGTATGAATGCTACTGTTGTTTTGCTCAAAAGCTTATCTCCTGACTTACCCAGGGTGAGGGATTTGTGTGTGGAACAGAAAATGATAGCCACTGTGTCTGCTGGTGTGAAACTAGAATTATTCCTAGAAAAGAAAGAGTTTTAATAACCTCTGATAGCAAAAACCTTCTTAAAACATCATCGATCAAATATATTACTTTGAGGATCCATATGCACATTCACTTCACTTTGATCAGGTCTAGTGACAGAAATAATTCTACCCACAAATGAACAGTAGTGTTTGATATTTTTTTTAAAAGCAGAATTGTTTCTCAGTTGTGGCAAACTCTTTAATGAATATGCTCCTGTGTGAAGGAGAGGAATTCTGAACACATGAACAAACATGCTATATCACAGCGGTGACCAGCTTGCCTCTGTAAAAAAAGACAAAGACCTATGATTTCTTTTCCTATTATGTAATGTTAACAAAATGCTTGATTTAGATAGTATATTGAGTCTACACTATAAGCACTGCTTAGAATATGTAGTGATCTTCCCCTTCAGAGAATAACTGCATCTAAGGGTTTACACACTGGGAGTAAGGCCAGTAAGGATGGCAAAGTGATATATAGAGCGAGATATATGACTGGCCAATGTATCACCCCTTGGTCCAAATTAGGAATCATTTTATGAGATTCTAAGTATTTACCATACTGAGTTGGTTACTACTTAGGGCATTTGAGATTTTACACTTGGGACACATCTTTCCCCCAGGTTAGCTCTGGCAGTTCGAGTTATTTAAAAATGTCTTCTAAGGTCAGGGTGTGTGATCTTGTCACAGAGAAATTTTCTTGTGGCACTAAAAAAAAGCAGAAGTAGCTCTAAGACACTGCACCCTTCTTTATGATTCTCCCTTATAGATATTGTATAATTTATATAAAGCATATGTCTGGAGTCTGCTGTATTGTGGCACTTCTCATTCAGCAGAGTGCTGCTGAGAAAAATACTCCAGTAAGCCTAAGTGAGAGGACAATGGTGGATACTCTGACCAGCTCAAGTGATGCACTAAGCCATTGGCTAACACCATTCTCACAGTACTATTTTTCGATAAGTGAATGTACAACTGTTCTTCCTGGTTGATATTTGAAAAGAGAAAAAAATAGCTTTACCAAACATTAGTTCAGGACAACTGTCTTTTAAGAATCACCATATAAACGTTACAAATTTGACATATACAGAGAAGAGTGAACTGCCAGCCCAGCAAATGTATCTTGAGATGTAAAAAGTCAAACTGAGTTCTCTCTCTCATATGTCATCAGCATGACTGCAGGGCAAATTATACCTTCAGTGACATCTGTGCAAATCCATTTTTTTCAGTGGATGAGGTATAGCAGTGATTGATTGAGATTTAACAACTCTGTAATTAACACACAAGAAAGGACAGAATTCAGGTCCTGCTCTCTTAGCCTATGAAGCTCTAACAGAGAAAATGCAGTAAGGACAATATGAAACACCAAAATGAGGTCACCCCTGTTCAGAAACCTGCTCTTACACATTTGCATAAACTGTATCACTCAAACCAAAGATACCACACAAAACAAATATTCAAAGGTTCCGATTCAGCACATTCAGTTACCTTGTAGAGAAGAGAAAAGTCAAAAACATGAAGCTCATCTGAACAGAAAATACTGAAAGAGAAAACAAGTTAAAATTAGACTTAGATCACAGAGCTAAAGATCACTTAAATCTCTGCAATGGCTGTGTACATGCCGTTTGCCCCCATACAACAGGTCAGAAGCTAGGCTGGACCAAGTCTATCCAGAGAGATCCCATTTACAGACAACCTTTAAAGACTTCTGAATCAAGTATTTCCTGACATGATGAATGGCAGGAAAGTTCACTGCTGCATGCTGCACATCTGTTTGCACTGGTTTGGCTTATTGGGTTGACAACATAAAATCTTTCAGATATGCTGTGGTTGCCGAGTATTTAAATTTAGCCCCTTTCTGTTTAACAGGAGAAAGTACAATGTGTAAGCATGATCACAATAAATATTCTCACACACTGGGTATATTAGTCTCCCAATGAATGATCGCTATTAAGAGAAGATCATCATAGACATTTTAGTTCCCCCTGACACAAAGGCTAATTCCTGAACTGGGCAGTGTACGTCAGACAAAGCAGCTTTTGTTCAAGCTCAAGTCAGCTTTGTCCCCTCATCCTGAGAGGAGCTCTCCTGACTCCGGCAGAGGTTGTGGGATGCACAGAGCCCACCCTCGGAGATGTGGGGAGAAGCAGGCAGCTTCCCCACTGTGCCGGGAGTAGCTGCTGGGACTGCAGAGACCGAACGTCGTGCCAGAGTGCGGGAACTCCCCACAGAGCTGGAGGAGAAACCCTGTGACATGCACAGACCTTTCCTGCGTGTTTGTGGGTTATGGGGGGAAGGACTTGCACTCGCAGAAGAATCTGCGGTGGGTCCTCTCCCTTTTCCTTGCAAAACTTGTGAATGCAATAAGGCTGATGTGTCCCATAGGGTAGTGCCAACCAAGACAATACATTTGATTTTGATGCCAGTTCACAACTGGGCAACATGGCAGGGATATTAGCTATTACCAGTGGCATTTTCCATTCTCTTACATACATTTCCTAGAATGTATAAATGTCACCTCAGCATGCACTTAATTCTTCCTTCATGAAGTAGGGAAGCAATCCATTGTTCCTGAATTAGAATTTTTGTGCAACTAAGTACATCAATTTAATATGCACAGAAAAAAAAAAATCCCTTAATACGTATAATTCTGTAAAGCAATAAGCATGTATTGCTACCAATTATCCCTTGCGCATATTTTGCTGTGGCTAGAACATTAACATAAAAATTACATAAAAACATTAATCAGCAGAATAATAAATGCAGTTTCACCTCAAACTCTTCATGCTAATTTCACATCTTGGTACATAACAACACACACATCCAGCCAATACATGCAATGGCAGTACAGAAACTTTCCAGAATAAAATGTGCATATCCATCTCCACAACTTCCTTGTTTGTTTTTTTTTATAAATATTTTAGAAAAAAACAAATGTCTAATATGTTCCAAGCAGTTTCAAAGCTCACGTTAATATTCTTACTAAGAAACTCTAGTTATGCACACTGGCAATGAAAATGTATATATAATGATTTTCAGTGTATTGCACTGCAAGTGGTATCTATAATTACACATGGCAAAAATGCAGAGAAATAAAAGAAAAGACAAGAAAGGCAATGGAAGTAACCACTCTACATCAACTGTTCCAGGAAGAACATGCCCTTTTAACTAAAAAAGAACCTTTTTTTTTTTTTTTTTTTTTTTCTTCAGAGTAGCGGTCAGCTCAGTAACGTAAAATCACTTCATTCTGAGTTTCTCTGCATGTTAAATCAGAGCTGAAAAATGTCCCTATCCCTCTTTTTTGCTGACAACTCTGCACTGATTTAAGTGCATCTGGGATGTGGTCCTTCTCAGGTGCGTATGCAAACAAGTATTTCCTCCGTTTTGAAAAAAAGCTCCTTAGCATGGCTTCCTCCTCCTTTGCTTTCAGAATAAAGTACCATTTATAATTCCATGTAGTCTTTTAAACATGTATAGTGTTTTACAATCCAAAAAACTGCCACAATTAGGATAGAATAAGACTTGACCCACAAAGGGCAGGGGCAAATTTCCTACTGACTTTAGTGGAGATTGGATGTATAGAAGATACATTATTTTTATTAGACAGAAACGTGTACATACACACACTTCAAGGTAGGTGATGCACTGATTTCTCGAAATCTAACAGTTTTAGAGTGTATGAGATGTGATTTATATTGTAGTTACCTCTCCCCCCAAGCAAACTGAAACTCCTGTCTCTGGACAGTCTGAAGCAAGATGGGAATTCCCTACTGGGAGAGGAGACAGTGGCTGTATACCACTGCCTTTCCCTCGGAGGTAGTGATCTGCAAGTGTATTTTTAACTGATGGCAAGGATACCGGCAGTCTGTTCTCATGTGTATATTATTTAAGGCTGAATTACTAGAGTGCTTCTAAAACAAACTCTGCAAGAAATGTGTTCATCCACAGAAATATATCAACACATTTGAACTCCCAACTAGTTTCTAGGTTTATAATATGGTAAGGAAGAACTATTTAAAAGTTGTAACAGTGCTTTTGAGTCATAGCTCAAACCCAAAACTTTCTGTTTGGAATGCAACATCAGTGCATTTATGGTTGTTTAATAACAAAGAAGCGAAAACAGAATAGTCTTAAACGCTTGAAAGGTAATATCGTGTGCCTTGAGAAAGGGAGGGCCACTGAGCAACCTCAGGCACCCTAAATAGCAAGGTTCATCCCTGTCTAAATGTTTACTCAATCCCCTAAAAGCATGCAGCCCCTAAGAAGTCTGGCAACCTCGTTTACTAGACACATCAAAAGTAGAAGCCGTAGCCCCAGGCCAGTATCCCCGCAGCCCACCCTTTCCAGTACATATAGCTCATCGCACACCTGAAACGCAGATAAAAGAGATGCTTTAAGGCTGAACTTACTTATGAACACTATTATAATCAAGCTAAATTTATCAAGGTCAATATTTGGATTGGCGAAAGTATCACAGAATGTTGTGTAGATGATCATCAGGAGCACGCAGCTGCTGATAGCGCCAAATGGAGGCTTCTTCCTTTCAAGCCAGTCCTTGATGTATCTTCGGACAATCTGAAACACAGAAACCAACAGGTTGCCTCTTTTCAAAGATGCAGGAAGCCAAGTTGGGCATCACAAAGCGAATCTGACAGCGGAAAGACACAAAGAGAAGAGAGTAATTTGGATGACGGCCACAGTGGATTTCAAAGCTTCCCTGCCACACAACTCTTCTTCTGGGGAATTTAACATTTGTAGTGCAACTTCCACTGGGCGTCCATAATGAGAGTATATTTTCAAGTACATTCAAATCCATCCTTAATCATGCCAAATGTTCTTTGCTAGCTGTCACTGAGACATGCCCATTAAGCCTCCCCAAAGTTTATCTCCTCTGCTGATACTAATGGATGTATGTAATTATCACAGTTCCCTTTGCATCAACAGACAATTCCAAGTGCAACTTTGGGAATCTTAAAAATCTGACATCTTCAGGAATTTCATGACGGTAGATAATCGAAAGTGATCCATGGAACATTTTAATATTTAAATAGCTAGCGATGCACCAGAAGTTTTTAATTAAATTATAACTCAAGCTTGAAAAGCAAAAGTGCATGTGTTGTGGGAGTTTAAATAATTCAAACTCTGAATATCTAGAGTTTTTGTAAATCCAAAGACAAATGCCATTTGCACGCTTTTAGAATACCAGAATTAACACATGAAAACAAGGAAACCTACTGTACTTAGCAGAACTTTTGCACTTTCAGGAAACAGAATCTGAAGTTGTTTTTCAATAATTTTTTTTAGAAACAACTATAAATTTCAAAGTAACTTCAACTTTCAAGTTATGCCACATACTTACAGGACTAAGCCTCAGCAGATACAATGCATCTATTTCAGCCCTGCCTGGGGAGTCGCTTTTGGTTTTACTCTTTACTTTATACGGTTTGAAGAAACTTTTTAAAGCTTTTATCTTACAGCTGCGACTTGTGTTAATTTTTCAGCAATCACATTATCTTGCCTAATTTCTCCTGAGACCTCCTGATGTTCTCTGTTACCACGCTCTTTCAGAAATAATAGCACCAGATCCTGAAACACTTCTACCAGAGGGCTCTAAAGGTGTCTCGTTACCTTCCCATAGCAGCACCATTAATAAACACCACCACTATCGGTTTAATAATACAGAACATTTTAGAGCTATTCAAGATTAATATCAAAGCATCATCACCAATGCGACCACAGGACCTTTTCACACACTAACTGCCAAAGCTGTGGGATTGACCTCTCAGCAGAGTGTTTCCTTGCTGCCTTCTCAGCTTGTTTCTAAGTCTCTCAATAGGGAAGTCCTGAAAACAGCTACCCCAGTGACCACAGCAAACAGACTTCATTGACCACATGGCAGGGTGCACACACACTAAAAATTTGGCACATGGGGTTCATGCAAAGCTGACGAGGCTGAAGACCAGCACTTACCTCCCAGCACTTCTGTGCTTCCCACTGATGAAAAATAACAGATTTACAAGAAACCATGTCAGGGGATGCTCAAAACCCCAGTGAAAACACTCAACTTTAAAATTTCACACTTGCCAGATGTTAAAGAGAACACAACTCGGAATATACGGCCAAACTCCTGAAAGAGCATGCAATGGAGCTCCTTCAGGCACCTCCTTATACGCCACCAGGCAGGAATAAACCACTACAGCGATGAAAGGGAGGCAAGAAAACTGAGTGAAGACACTTGGTGCGCAGTGTGAAAGACATCAAATGGGAAGACCAGATTAGCCCAAGATGAGCACATTTGGGACTCTGTAATTATCAGAAGCAAAAAGCAAAGTTTTTCACCTCTAAAGTGAGTGTTTTCTAAGGAAGTTCAAAAAAAATCCCATTATCCTATAAATCAAGGTCACATTAGGGAAAAAGAAAAGCTACTTAAGACCACCCATTTATTTATGGTTCTTCCAGAAGATTTATACTGAAAGTAACGAGATGTTGAAAAAGAAAAGTGATGGTTAATCATGCCACAGTACAACTTATACTGGAGGTATTTATTACAAAAACTATAACCTTGTGTCTGAACCAGGTATAATTATAACATACATGACAATAATAATTTAACATGGATTAGTATATAAGAGAAAGAAAAACAGTTTCAAAAACAAAACCGCAAGCAGTATTTCCTCAGAAACTTCAAGTGGCTGATGTCTTCTCTAAATATCCACCTCTAGTCTGGAATTATCATGAATCAACAACCATAAATACCAGTACAGTTTCTTACTGCACATTGTATTTTTTTAAAAAAATGACATCGTTGGAGCCTGAAGAACTAAATTGTGGTTTCAAGAAATCATCTAATCTACCCAGCGTGATGCTAAATGTATACTGTAAAAACATAGACAGAATACATCCTCCCTAACACAGAATCCCATACATTTTGATCTTCTCACCAGGTTCCAGAAGATCTATAATTTCAGAGGCTGATTCAGCCTATGATCATTGATTCAAGGCAATCTAAATTCTTGCATAACTTAAGAGGAGAGAAATATAACCCTACAGGTATCAGTAAAAACTCAGCTAGATTTTTCACAGGGAAGCTCATGTCAGCTGATTCATTTTGACTGGAAAACAATCCATTTGTTACTTATTCATGCCCTGCAGAGTTGTTTCAGGACAAGGATGCTTTGAAAGCCTTTTAACTCTTAACCCAATTCTACCACTTTTCAGGTTTAACACAGAACTTAAAAAAAATGTGAAGATTTGTAGTGAAATAACAGTAAATCCCACAAATACAATAAAGACAACACATAATAACATACAGAGCCAGCCAGGCAGTGAACCTTGTTGTTCTGTGGTGCCGGCACTCTCTGACAAGAAGTTTAATAGAGGTTGAAAAGCCATGAGCAACAAAGATTGAAATGATTAAATAAAGAATCTCATAGGTAATTTGGAGCCTGGACAGAGATATTAAGCTTCATTTGTCTGCAAACACAGCAAAAGCTAACACAATCATTTTTGCATGTTATGGCCTGTACGAAGGACACCACACTCGGGCACTGTACTGGTGTGCCACCCCTCCATTGTAATGACAAAATCCAGTACTTTGAAGTACATTCCAGTACAACAGGGGAGAGACAAGCACTAGAGAAACACGCAGTTGAGAAAATGTATGAATTGATACTCCTGTGAAAAGATGAACTTACAGCCTGGGGTAGAAACGTGAACGACTGACATCCAACATAGATGCATCAGACCGGCACACTGATGGAAAAGAGCAAAAAGGGGAGTATTCTTCAGGTGCAATAATTCCACAGTTCTAGTGAAAGGAATGAAAGCCTCACATAAAAAAAAAAATGCAGTTAAAACCAACATCTTGGGGTGGGGCGGGGGGAGGCAGAGATGTTGGAAGAATAATCATTATGTGAAACATAAAAGCATTTAAAAACATATTTTACATGGGAAAATGCTGCAGGATGCTCCCATATTGCAGAGAACACATGCAAAATTTTTAAAGGTACAATCTTGCAACCCGTAGCCCTGCTGAGACTCCTGCAGAATTACTTCTTCAAGGAGGGCTTTGGGGCCTCTGGTCCCGTGGTAGTGATCAAATGAAGCACAATGAACTGCAAAGATTTTTGTGCAGATTTAAATGCCGGTCTCAAAGAACAGGGAATTTGTGATGACTGACACAGAAGTTGCACATGAAAGAACAGTGGATGGCAAATCCTCTCCTCAAACTGTGGTTTAGTGGAAAGAAGAGAGGCAGAGAAGCAAAACTTTGTAGTAGGTGATATTTTATAAATAACTTGCATGATGAAAGATGCTGATAAACTCACAGAAAAGTTAGACGATAAAAGAACATAAATCTGTCCATCAGGTAACTACCTCCTGGTGACTACGTCCTGGCAGTCTCCAAAGGTTTTTGGAAAGACATCAGCTCAAATTTGCTTCAAAACCCAGTTCTAGGCTCAAACTTTCCTCTTGCCCAGGATTTAATTTTTAACAACAAAGGATCGTAATTACACATGAATTAACAGTTGTGTCCCTGTTTCAATTCAGTTCTTCTAGCAGAATGGTTACATCCACAGCATTTTTCCTCCAGGCTGCTTCGTAACCTGCCATAACCTCCTTGTCTCAACACCAGCCTCCCTAAGCAAATGGGCTCACTGCTCATGTGCTTAATTCACTTAGTGTTCCCTGTACAAAGGAACACAACCTGCTATTCCAGGAAAGCAGGTAAATAAGCCTCATCTATTATAAGATCATACATGAAAATAGCAGAAGATATATTATAGAAATACAATTCGCTTATCGAATTGTACCTTCATTAACAGTCACACTGTATACCCAGAGAAATTTGTCAGTAAAATACAGCTAGACTGTTTCCACCTGCCTGCTTAAGTGCTGGACATACAAGATAAAAAATGCAATAAACAATGTAATTCATTAATGTTCATTATTAATTGAACTAAATAGGGCAAGGAGCTCCCTCATGTATATGGAATGGAATAATTTCTGACATTTGTAATACAGTACATCTTTTAAAAATTATCTAGATCTTCAACTTAATTTTTTTTAAACCCATGAAATGCAAAAAAACAGGGGAAATGTTATGAAGTCACTTTTTCTGTTTCCATTATATACTCAAGAGTATCTCTTGGTATTTACATCCTTATGCAAAGTAGATTTTTCCTTATTCTATCAACTCTTTTGGATTGATGTTATCTTTAACGGAATTTACAGTGTTTTAACTGCACTTCTGCTACTCTTGCTTATTATCTATAGGTATGTATTTCTAAATACCCGGGGCTTTACCATTTCAACGAAGAAACACAAGACACTTTCATTGTGTTGAAACACAACAGGAAACAAGCTGAAACTATGCTGGATTATTGCTATACCTAAATGCAGCAATTACCTTATTTACTTTGTCTTTCAAGGTAAGATCCCTAATTCATTCTTAACTAATACTATTAGTACTTAGAGCAACAGACCCTTGCAATGAACTCTGCAATGCAACATTTTCTTTTGAAAAGCTTTGAGTCAGACTAGATACTTGCAACTGTTCAATAACTTCTCAATAT